GAATCTGGACGGCTTTGTCGGCGGCAAGACATGTAATCTCTACACCGTACAGTAGGCGACTGTCGATGATGACTCGAGCTACGCGGAAGCGGATTTCGCGATTGCTGGATCGGTGGGGCGGAAGATGGTCTTAATCAGGTTGGACCGACTGCGACAGTCCTTCTTTACTTGTTAGAAGTGCGGCTCAAAGGATAAAATCCGATCGAGGAGCACTCCCAAGACCCTTACGGTGTTTTTGGTTGGTATTGCTTGTTGTTTAATCATGATGGGCTGTCCGTGTTTCCGATGCCTGGTGGTACATATATGGCAGCGCACGCTCTTGCCGGCGGAAAGCTGGAACCAACAGAGTCAGCCCATCTAACCACCGAGGAGACTGCCGCTTGCACTCTCAGTTTCGTCCTCTGCAGAGAGGGACCCACCGTTAAAATGACGACGTCATCCGCGTAGACGAAGATGTAAACGTTCTTCGGTAGTTGGTCAAAGACCCCATTCATGGCCACCAGGAAGAGAGTGACCGCGATCACCGAACCCTGTGGCACCCTGGTTTGCTTACTGAAACTTTCGGATTGCACGTTTCCGACCGAAACCCGAAAAGATCGCTCGGTCGGAAAGTTACGGACGAAGTGTAGGATGTCTCTTTTCAGGCCCCAATCAGCAAGCTTCTTCAATACAGCTGATGTCTATGTTCGGTTCAACGCAAGCAGCCCCTTGGCCTCAAGATATTGCTTCAGCCTTCTGTTGACCATCCGTTCCAGGACTTTGGCCATGCAGCAGGTCAGTGCAATGGGACGGAGCCCAGTGATGTTCTTGGTCCCGACATTGGTTTTCTGTAACGGAATAACAGTTTTCCGGGTATTCTTCAGCGGTCCAGAGTTGGTTGTAAAGGTCGAGAAGTTTCGTTTTACCTTCGGGTGCAAGGTGCTTTAGCAGCGGGTAGCCGATTTCGTCCGGTCCGGCCGAGTTCCCGTTGCTCCGACTGAGAGCGAACAAGAGTTCTTCTCAGGAGAGTGGGCTGTTGATCGGTAGGTCGTAGTTGTCTGCCGCTAAGGGCGCTAATGCGACTGCATAGCTCCGCTGACGATTGTTCGGCATTGATACTCTCCAGGAAGTCCGACCAGCAATTTTGCTTCGCCGTCCGAATCTCCTGACGGCATTTGTTGTGGACCTTTTCTCTTGCTGGATGGTTTAGGGAGGTGCGTTTGAGCTTCCGGAGTGCTTTTCGCCTGGCTTTTACTGCCCTTTTGGTTTCGTCGTTCCACCAGCGGAGTGCTTTCTGCCCGGGGACACAGCCAGTTTTGGGTATACTGGTGCTAGCGGGTTTATAGATGATTTCCGTGATGCTTGGGATGTTCGTGGGTTCCTGGTTCTGCACGAGGGCTCGGTACGTGTGCTGAAAACCCTCCCAATCAGCTTCCCTGTAGCGCCACCGTGGTCTTTGGGTGTTTTCTGGGGGCGATGCGGCGGATAACCGAATCTGTACCGGATAGTGGTCGCTGCCGCACAGATCAGGGTTAATCGACCAGAGCACTTTGCCCGCCAGATAATGGCTGGCTGTGGACACATCAATGGCGGTGGTGTGCCAACCGTTGAAAAACGTTGGACCGCCATCATTTTATATGACCAGATCTTCCTGCTCGAAAATATCGCAGAGGGTGACGCCTCTAGGGTCCGCTCGTGGGCAACCCCAGGCTGGGTGGTGGCCGTTCAGGTCCCCTATAAACATCTTGGGCTCTGGTAGCTGATCAAGTATTCTGCGAACCTGGTTGTCCACGCTGGGCAGCTTTCAGCAGGGCAGATAGGCACAGGCGGTGGAGATGCTAATTGGATTCTGGATCTGAATGCCGACGATTGGGAGGTTGGTATCCAGATCAACGATTCGGTGAGGGATTTCCTTGCGGACTCCTATAGCAACGGATCTCCGGAGGTTGGACCCTTTTTTGATGGACCAGGTATATTGACCGTCTAGTGTTCTGTTCATCTGGTCCACCGCAACGTTGGTGCAGGGCAAGCACCCAAGGGGACGCGTGCAGAGGAGTTCCAACTCAGCCAGGTGGAGAAAGAAGCCGCTAATGTTCCATTGAAGAATCAGATTCACACGAACCGGTAGTGCGGGGGTAGGGTACCCACGCTCCGATCCGCTGGTTGAGGGTCGTTTGGTTGAATTGTGATGGCTGATTGCGTAGCAACTGGAATTTTGATGTGTTCCAGTCGGACTTGCTGTCGAAGAACTCGGTACCGAATGAGACGGATCCCCACCAGAGGTAGGTGGAGGCGTTCAACCCCCTCGGGGAAGGTTTGGCATAACTTGCATGCCTTCTTTTTACGTGCGTATTAAGAGTTCGCTTGCGCACGGAAATAGGACTTTCTTTTACTCGTGGCGAAGCCTGATTGGAGAAATCCAGCAGGGTCGCAGAGAAAGACTTCGAAGTGCTGATATTCGAAACCTTTCTTGCTGCGCGAACAACCTCAGCCCACACAGGAAGGGTGCATAGAGGACGAGAGAGCGCTGCAGTTCTAGTAACGAGTGGCAAACATATGGGTCGCTTAAAGTTGCATAATTGCATTCTTGCTCGAGCAATGGCTCGGTGCCTGGAGTGGATAATTAATTAGGCTGGTTCACTTTGGTTATGCTTGTTGGTTACTTGGGTCAAGATTGAATAACCTTGAGTGAACTTAAGCGTTTCACATATGAAAATGATGCATGTCTTCGCATGATAGTGTATATTGATATCATCCGATCTATTTGAAGGAGTTCTCTTTGATAGTGTATCGTTGTTTTTCTCAATTTCATCAAATATACTACTATCATAAAATGTAAACACGTAAACATTTTGTTAACCCTTGCCTTAGAACACCACTCTGAAAATGCAATTTTTTTTAAACTGATGTCATCGTGGTTTTATTCATGCATTTTCTAATGTTTTATAGGGGAAATGTATGTAACGTCGGCCTAAGTGTCCCTAATTTGGGTCCATACATAAATTATGCCATCGACTAAATTTTCAATAGCGATCAAAAATAACCATTAGTACCGTCCCAATGACGCGTTCATCTAGATACAATTGATAAATAGCAGATTTTTAGCGATGGGCCCAATCTTTGATCCATAGTCGAACATTAGAGCCATTTCTCCTACTGTTATTATTAATATATTGGTCACTTTCAGTGTCTATTTTTATCATTTACCATCCCAAGCAAGGAGTAGCCCTTCAACTCAGTGTAGATAATAGGATTTTGAAAATCCTTGCTGTTACCTAAAAGTGAAATGAGTTCATTATTATCATTATTATTCATTAATACGTGACACGTTCTTCAGCGCTATATTTGTGTTAAATGCAAATAATCATTTTGCAATTTGATCCTCAAATCATCCCCACCAAGATGAAGACGAATATTAATATTGAAAAAACAGAGGCGAATGAAGAAAAACAAATGTTGACTTTGACAGCCAGAGGTTGCCTTGATCAAGAGAATGCTGTTATGTCAAAATTCAAATTCACGCTGGTAGTTCTATCTGTTAAGGTTGTCTTCATTTTCAGCTAAGTTGGGTGCAGAAGAAATGAATTTTATCAGCACTGGTCTCGGTAGCTGCTTTGCCAGTGCCAGCCAGTTTATTATTTTTCAACACAATTCTCCAGGATTCAATACTCTTTCTATAGTCCTATTTAAAATTCGACTATAGAGCATTTTACTAAATATTTTGTTAGGAAACATATGTAAGAAAAAATCAATCAATAGCTTGCGAGTGTTATGTCTGTTTGTCTGTGCCATAATCATGTTAGATTTATATAGATCCATATTATTATTCTGTAACTGCGTATTAAACCAGGAATTCTATTCCATGACTTGGATTTCCCTGTTTCTTCATTTCAATTTGTCCTTTAAGCCGTAAAACTAAACTCCGTCGATCGCTATATCTGCTGGTTTAACTTTCTGAAAATGGTTCTCTTCGAAACTCCAAAGGAAACAGCAGTAAAGGTACGACTCCTATGAGAATCAGAACTGTCTATACCCTACTACCATTGCAAGCTTTATCAAGGGTTTAAAGCATGCTACGAGTCTAAATTATGGTCAAAAGAACCTTTATCAAACCAATATTGTTACTTGAGATATACTGCTGCTTACAGGTTATTGATTCACCATTTATAGCTCGTTGAAATCGATAACGTCTAAATAAAAGGATACCATCCATCCAACAATAACCCTCTTGTTGTTTCTGAATCAAAAGGATTACTGTCCAAAACTCTCCGGCTCAGAAAAGTTCTTGACATAAATTGCCCAACCAAGCACGAGAAAACGATTATCCGATTTCCAGCTCCCAGGCAGAAAGAGGACGAACTCTCAATATCGTCGCTGCCGTTGACTTAGGGCAGAATGCTTACAGCTCGTTAAAAATGTTAATCAAAAGCAATTGATATCGTATATTTTAATCTTCTTTGGCTGACTTGAGCTTTCCATATCCTTTGATCCATTTATCTTGTGTTCTCTTTCTGCCACGACGACGAGGAACGCAAGTACCTATCTATCTATCCAGACCACGATCAGCTCATCCGTTTTTCTCGCATCTGCTCTCGTTGACTGTCTGCTGTCTGTGAAGATAGCACTCTTTATTAATTTTATGTAGATGAGATTAGAAAGTGCCGCAAAGGCAGTCGCACTCACACTCACATTCAGATCCGCTCTTGTCTGAGAAAGTCAAAGAGCAACACACAACCGGGAAGGGATCCACTTCACGAGGAACCTCTTTTCCTGAACCTGAAACCTGATTGCGCTGTCGTTTGTCTTGGATGGAAATATCAATCAAGGGTGTAATTTGGCGTTGCTTTTCTTGAATTGATTGCCTTTGATGGTAAGGTGTGTTGGGAAAAGACTTCACAATCTGAAATAAATTACAAGAAAAGATTGCATTATAATTCAATTGCTGCACCACTTATGATACGTACACCCATAAGAGAAAAACTGATATCAAATACGATTTTTGTTCTTCTTTTCTTCCGCAGATTTCGGTGCCGGAGCGATACGATCCGTCCACCTGGTAGTGGACCCACCAGCCGTTCGAAGATCACAGCATGCAACCCTCCGGTGTCTGTACGATCTGGGCAGCTCGCCACTGTACTCGGTCAAATTCTATCGGGGCCTCCGAGAATTCTATCGGTTTTCACCCAACGAATATCCGGAGAAGAAAACGTTCGCCTTTCCCGGAATCAACGTCGACGTAAGTTGTATCGCTTTTTTTTTTCATTACTTATTTTCTATATCATTATAATCCTTTCGAGGCATACATAAAGTACTCGGCGAGCAAAGTGGAAGGAAATAACGTGGCCTGAGTGCCAATTCCGCAAAGTTGAATGGGGAGCTTTCTTTAAATAATTTTCTTTTGCCCACTGTTCCATGCCGTGCGCAACGAGCAAGGGTGGATAAGAGGAAATTTTCAAACCGAGAACTAAGAAAATTGAAAGCCTTCCAAGGACGTAGACAGCATCGTAAAATTCTTCCTGGTTTCGGTTTTCCCAGGGTCGAGCGTAAAATATAGGATTACATTCGATTATCTGTCTATGTTTCGAGAGAAAAGCTATCCATTTGGTAGTTGTTGATGTTGCCGTACTTGTGGATGCACAAGCAGAGAAATGAAACTTGAGGCATTAATTTTGGAAGCTGTGGATTATATTTCCAATTTATACTAAGCTGGGTTGAATAACGGTTAAAGAAGCGGTTCTTTGCTACAAATGAGCAGTTCGGCAAACAACCTTTAACCATTTAGAAGAGTAACCGTGTACATTGTCTTTTGAAATATTACTGCAACAATAATCTAGTTAATATTTGCTAAATCCCATTGCAAACATGCTCAAATTCATAATTATCATAAAGATACAATGGTAACTTCAATAGATCAGACTGAAAAAATGCAGCAAATAAAGCAGACAAACAACTCTTAGGGGCTGTTCATAAACTACATACATGTATGAGGATTGGGCGAGTTCGATTTTGACGTAGAAGTACGTCTTTATGGACTATACTGGGGAGTAAATATAAAAAAATGTGTTGCGAAATAGTGTTAGGTTTTGAACGCTTGTAACTTTGTCATTTATAGATGAAAATAAAATCCAAATACACCAATCGATAGGAAATAACTCTACAAATTATCTCCCAGTCGTCATAATCGAGTACCACTTGGTAGCACATTGTTCTGATTGAACCTGAAAAGTTATAAAGCAGCGCTGCTCTAGTGCCTCTGCTCAGTTCCGTATCGGACGGTCAGAGGTTTAAGGTGGATTTTCTCCCTCTCGCTCTCTGCCGTCGTGCTGAACATTGTCACAGATGGGCGTATTTAGAGAGCGCGTCATGCCTCTGCTCATTTTTGCATTGGACGGAGCAGAAAAAAAGTTTTTCAGAATGCATAAGGAGCCTATATTATATCATCAAGCTCAGTGTGCAATTTTGCATAAATTCTATGTTTTAACTCAGCGCTAGTGTTATTTGATTCAAAAAGCTTGCTTAAGCAGCATTCACTGAGAACGGATCTTATTCAAAGAGTGAGTCACTTTTATTCATTCCTATGGAAAAAATTCTAAAAGCGTAGGTTCCTCGTGCGCTCAGTGACCTACGATTTTAGAAATTTCTCCATTTGGATCAGTAAAAGTGACTCACTCTCTGAGCTAGTTTCGCTTTCAGTGTTTCAACTATGTAGGAGGCTGCTGTCTTTAGTAAAGTTATCCAGGTGGATAAGAGCTATTGTACTGACAGCTCATATCATATAAAAGTTCTCCGTTTATACAGATTTTTCGTCACTCGTGGTGATTGTTTCCATTGTACTGCAACGCCCCATTTTCCGTAAACCCAAGATTCACTAACTCAGCATAAACGTAAGCATAGAAAAGATTAGCAAATGAATAACCACCACACGCCAAACAGGTGAGAATGTTTTCATTCGATTATGTAAACGAATAAACATTGAAGGGCATCGTAGCGTCCATAGTGACCCTCCAAACAAGGAAGTTAAACGGGAACAAATAACAGGGCCATGCAAAGTAGCAAAATTAAAACAATATAAACAAATGAAGACGCCAGAGTATATCGCTACGTTCGAACAGGGGATATGACTCATGAGAGAGACTAGAATATATGCTAATGAATTAATGAATGAACATTATGTACTAAGAATTAAGAGGGGGAAAATGTCAGCCATATGGAAAGTTCTATTAACAGGCGGGTTCAGGTGACTTAAGAAAGGCACAGTAGGAGTAAGAACCATAATAAGAAGATCCAGTACAGAATTTAGCAAATATAGAATAGTTACCAGCGCATATCCTTGAGAAGAATCTCTTCGATATTATTCTCAAGCTGGTTAAGTAAGAGGGGATGCTGTAACCAACGCTTTCACGGTTACAATCGTCCTCTGATTACTGGGGCACTTAGCATTGACAAAAATGTATATATTTGTAAATAATAAAAATTGTCAGTAAATGTCTAGGTATAAAATATTTGTCTGTATATACTCCACGTTGTGTTTGAGAGACGAATGTTTTATGTCTAGTAGCCCTAGGTTGGTATTTTGCGGTTTTGTATATATTTTGCATTAGTTAATTGGTTTTGTTACTATTTTTGTTTACAGTTTGTATTAAAATCGAATTAAAATATAGGATTAGGGAATTTAGCATTTGCTATAAAATTTAAATTTAAATTTTGAATGTTCGCAATACCAACCTATGAAAATAAAATTGTTTGTTGCTGTCAAACCGTCATCGAAGAGGAGACACCGAGATGCCACGTATGCAGCATTGTGTATGGGCTTCTATTATTGTATCCGTTCCCGAAAACCTATATAAGGATTCTGGGGACAAAAGCACGTGGTCTTAGATAGTGTGTTTGCCCGGAGGAGTGACGTCGCGGCTTGTCACAAGTTACACGTGACTGCGTTTCGAAAGTTCATTAAAATTCCGATCCTAAGGATCAAGAAAGTGATCGACTGGTGTCACCACACGCTCGCCAAGGGCTGGTCGATCCGTCGAGTGAGGTCATAGTGTGGTGTTTAATTTTATGCGGTCCACGGTTTCGAACAAATTCGTACCGGTACGACGCGAGTGCATGGACGGTCAGTGATTGGCACAGTAAAACGCCATTTGAACATTAGCGAACCGTTGGACATTTGTGAAGACCGTCCCATAAGCTGAAAACCTCACTCGACTTACCGTTAGACACTCGCGGTAGTTTGTGCGCGCACCTGGAATCACTCCCCGGGCTAAAGTGAATTGAAACGCTGCTGGCCTCCGTTACAAATAGGCCAATTTGACGCCACATATGGAATCCCCCCGTCGAAGCCCTGCACAGCTGCGTTCGTCGATGGACACCCTACCGATGGCTGCCACGTGAGCCCATTCATCTTATGTCGACCAACGAGTGCATCACGGCCGCAACGTAAGCTCACCGGTGAAATAAAATGCGCAAGTACTAAAACCCTAGACTAAAACCCCTTTTTGATTTTCTCACTGCACTCTGAATAAAACTTCTGAAATAAAATGTAAAGTTCAACCTAAAATTTAGATTTAATTAATTATTTGAAAGTTCTTTGATTGTTTTGTATTCCTATTGTTCTCATTGTTCAAATAATCCGCTTTGTTGTCTCATCCAGTAATCAGAGAAAAAGGTAAGTTGAAGTTTTTCCAGGCGACTCCATTGCAACGACCCTTAACCACAACTATCATCAAAAGAGGCACATGTTACGCCCACCCCAGACGGTTGCCGTGGCTTGACCAGCAACTAGGGGCTTAGAAAGGGGTCCATCTGACCCTGAGAAGCTAAGAGATAGTTTCAATGCAAAGGCCTCAAAATCCAATATCAATCTGAGTAAGAAATTAACCAGTAATAGACCCCCATACGGTAGTAGAAAATACACAACTTAACAGCAGCAGTGACAATGTCGCCCATTTTCAGGGTCAGTTGTTAATAAACAGTTGCTACCGCGTCGTCAGCGATGCGCGCTGGCTTAACTAGGTGCTTCGAGAAAGGTCAAAGTAAACATTGGTGAGTAAGCATCATACATAGCCGTTCCTACCGCGAGGAGCATTAATTCTTGTTAAAAAACAGACACCGACTTTCCAAGAGAAAAACTATCTGTCTCGCTTTATATGTACATACTGGAGAAAAACTATTGTGTAGAGTTTAAGTAACAAATTCATGTATAAAAGGTTTCGAATAATAAAGAATCGGGGCAGTTGTTCTGATGAGTTGATCATCCGAGGTTTGCTAGGTGCGGACGAGCACAGTTCCAACCTCAGGATAACTGATTCATCAAAGAGCTTTTTCCATACAGTAGAAATGGAATTACACTGTCTTTCGTTTTACGGAGAAAGAAAGACCACGCGAGTTGTTGCTCTACGTTGGGCACTTCAACACGGGAGTGAAACATGGATGCGCAACGGAGTATGGGCGCTTCAGTACTACTGTACTACCGTGACGCTTTCGAAATCTTCATCTACTTAGCTGGTTACCGCCCAAGCTTTTTGCTCGTCGATCAACTTGAAAGCATATCATACGGTCTAAGGAAATGCGCATTACCATGGCAAAACACTGCGCTAAGTGCTCTGATGCTATTACGGGCATCGATTTCGTAGTCTGCCGTGGCTACTGTGCAGCAATGTTTCATATGAACGCTAGTTCAGGAGAAACACGTGCGTTGCAATCGTACTTCACGTCCACCAGAAAAAACCTTTTCTGGATGTGTGACGAATGTGTTAAGTTATTCGAAAACTCTCATTTCCGTGCGATCTCGTGTCAGGCCGATGATAGATCTCCTCTTTGCACGCTTACGACTGCGATTACTGAACTGCGGTCCGAGATAAAGAAAATGAACTCAAAGCCCGTAGCCCAGTTTTCACCAGCTGCAAACATTCGCTGGCCTGCGGCTGACCAACGTAGAGCTAATAGGCGACCTCGTGAGTCCGATGTCGGTGCACGGCCCCTGAAAATTACCGAGTGGGAAGTAAAAAGGCACTGGGAAACGTTGTTGCGGTCCCAATTTGTAGCATTTGTAGCAAAAGTTCTGGCTATACCTGTCGAGAATTCGCCCTGATGTCGCCGCAGAATGCGTATCTGCTATGGTCAAAGCCAATCTGGAGATTGACAGTGATCTTGACGTGGTGAAGCTCGTCCCGAAAGGCAAGGAATTGGATTCCCTTTCTTTCGTGTCTTTCAAAATTGGGGTCGACCCCTCGCTTA